TTGTGTGTTTTGCTTTTATGCGGGTGATGATCGGCCCAAGAAAGGTCATTATTTGGCCGAAATCAAAATATACTTGTAATAATAAATATGTGGCAGTTTTTAGGTTTTTCCATGTGGATAGTAAGTCAGTCCAAAGAAAGACTTATTATTTGATAGGAATTAATTGTTAATTTTGATTACTACACCAAGAGTACCACTTGCAAATTGATGTTTCTGTCTAAAGACTAAATCCAATGTTGCACTAGGTACCTTGTAAATGGGAATGCCAAATTCGAATTTATTAATCATGTCATTTTAGGTTTTAAATGTGAGCTTGTGTTTGGTTATTTTTTAATATAGTTAATTCCACTATTTTGGTTATATCTGCTTTAGTTACCTCCGTTAAGACTTTCAAGAACTAGAAAGAAACATTAATGAAAATTAAGGAACATGATATAAAATAATACAAACCTGTTCCTACTATAAAATATTTTGTCAAAACAATAAGGCGGGAATGAGTACTCTTTCAAGAGATCTTGCTTCCATAAGGTATAAGGAAAAAAGGGAACATGCGAAATGTATTGTTCAAAGTATCATCTCGAATTAAGATTTAATGTACTAAAGTTATAGTTGATCTCTCATATAAAATGAGCTTCGGTTAAGAACAGTTTTACTGTTATTAAGTAAAAGGGACCCTTAATGAGTTCATTTCATATTGTGTACAAGAAGGGAGATTAAAGTAAAACCCTTAATGAGTTTTTTATTTTTTGTTTCTTTGTGTTTCATTTTTTCTATCAAGGGTAGAAATGAAAGTATACTATCGGAGCCATATAAGTACACTCACTTCATCAAAAGCATCACATATGTCAAAGCTCGGCTGATGAATATTGCAAACAACTGTTCGGCCTGTATCCACTGTGTTTCTTACGGTTCTCATAACTATGGTAGCTGCTCTAGCATCCAGCCCTGATGTAGGCTCATCCATGAAAATTATGGATGGATTGGCTACAAGTTCCACCACAATCGTTAACCTTTTTCTTTGCTCCGTTGAAAGACCATTGATTCCAGGCAATCCAACGAATGCTTCTAGCAATGGGGGTCAGCTCCACGAGCTCCATGATTTCGTCAATAAATATCTGCAGTTATTCGGGGATTTGAAATAGATACACATTGTAACAGGTATAGATTTCATTGAATTTGGAGTCTTTATCATGTGATAAAGATTGAGCACTCCCAACATAAGCGAATGTGATTATCTATGAACAATTTTGTTTGAAATTGACTATGGATTCTTGAAGGTCCCCATACATCACTATGGATTAGTAAAAATGGCTTGCTAGGTGTGTATGTGCTTTTAAGAAAAGAACTAGAGTGATGTTTTGGAAATTTTCATGCTTCACATTGAAAAACAATGGATTTCCCTTTTTTTTTGCAGAACATAGCAATGGGAACATGTGACACAAGTATTTAATGGTTCGATGATCCATCCTAAAATGTCCTAATCCTAAATCACTATTTTCAATCAATGATGTATCTCTAATTATGAGAAGAAATGTAGAATTACTTCTAACAGGTTGACCGTGACTGTGCAATTCCATTACCAAAAGAGTGGAAGCCTTCATATTCCTTAGCATTGCCAATCATCTTCCCCGACTACAGCTCCTGAAAAACATAGTGGGAAGGGAAACATTTAGCACAACAATTGGATGGTTTAATTAACTTACTGAGGGAAGAGTACAGGCTAATTTGAGAATATATAGCACTTAATTCAGTGTAATAGAGAGCAACAGGAGAGAATGTACCCTCAACAATTCTAACTTTTAAATTACCATAACATAGTGTATATCCAGGAAAAAAAAAGTGATAAAAATTAGATGATCTGGAATCTATAATTCAAAAGACCTTGATCTGAGAACAATGGAAGGTTATAAAAGATTTTACCTTTGTGGATCAAAGTGCTCACAGTGGCAGCCTTAGGACTTGAATTTTGTAAGACAGTGAGTATTTTATCCACTTGGTCATTTCTAGAGCCTTCACCATGTTTCTTTTCAAAAACAGTTTGATAATCTTTGACCTTTCTCCCTAGACGAGGTTCCCAATCTGCCGGCTTCCCATGGATCTTCCATAACCAAAGTACTCTCAACATAAAAACATTTTTCAAACTTTTTCTCATCTTCATCAGTCTCCTCCACATAATCACTGTTCTATTCTTCTAATCCTCACTCGCCCGGCGGCAAAAAGATGATGAACAGATCGATCACAAAGATACTACTTGTACATAATATGGTAAATTGTACCGGATTTTGTGTATATATGTTATAGTTTGTCTTGGTAGCAGTTTGTTGATCACAGGGACTGTTTTGTAAATGTCTGTAAATATGGGTCTTAGTCTGTAAATAGATTAGTTGGTTAAGACAAGTGTTGTTTTCCAGGTATTTAATGAGCGAATCCCGGTCTACAAATTAATTAAGTCACAACGTTTTTACCAAATAGATTTTCTGGATTCTTCCCCCTTTCCTATCAAATTCAACCCTAACCACCTTGAATTCTTGAGACTACTGGATTTCCAGTTTCCTTCTGTAATCATTTCATAACCCCTCCTAATCATATCGGATGGATAATGAAGAAGATTAACTGGGGTATCTCGTCTGACGCTACTGATAATTTTTTAACTTTGAAGGCGTTGTAAGGAACAGGAGTTTGATGAGCGCGGTTTACGAAAGGGAGTTTCATCATGTCTTCTGTTTATGTTTGGAGTACTAGGGACTGGGGATATGTATGTCACTGATGTGTATGTCTTTTGCCCAAAGAAATTCAAAGACTTAAAAAGGAAACACACTTGACAAAATTTAGATCAAAGAATCTGCAAAGAAAAGAATTGCAAGCCAAAATGAAGATAATAATCCGCAAGTTAGGTGTACAGGAAATGGAAGTTGAATATATTTGAAGCCTGACACTTAAGATATTCAAAGCAAGGTGTTGAAAAGTTGTTCTGGTTGCTGCTGCTCCCAGCGCTATGATCCATCCACTGGTATTGGAGTTGCTAGACTCAGCACCTTTGTTTAAAGATTATTCAGATAGTTTCTTCGCAGATGGTTCATCTTGTGGCTTCATAGCTGGAAACAATAGAACCTCCTTGCTGTTCTGCGAATCTGTTCGCAACACAGCAAGGCGATCAATGCCGAGTCCCCAGCCACCAGTTCCATACTGGAGGGCGGTGCAAAATGTTTCATCCAACGCCATTGCCTCGTCATCACCAGATTAACAATCCTGGAACATAGTGGGCAGTGATTAGGACAAGAGCCACGACAAAAATAATTACAGATGAAATTAATAAGAGACCCGCTGCTCATGTCTATATTACCTTGAGTTGTCCGCAAATCGCTGTCGTCGCACAACAGGATCATTCAACCCGATGTATAACCGTTCCAGAGCTGTAGAATTAGAAAGTATTCAATTACATCTTGTTTGTTAAAAACAAAGAGCAGGGTGGTATATAACACTAGCAAAAACAATGCTAATTAAAATAAAAATTGAGAGGTAAAATCTGCTCTTTTAATATATTCTCATTTGAGTTCCATATATATTCTGTTCTTTTACAAAATTTTAAGATTTTTCCATCAAAATATTCTATACTTACGGGTCGTAATGTTAGAATTTATAAAGTACCTAATGTTGTTGAACAATGCTGAAATTTTCATTTTTGTAGTGTCACTATGTTTACGATAACGATATTCTTAAGGTTAAAACAATTTTTTAGTTGTAATTATATTAAAAATTAAGTAATTTTTTTTCTTGGAAAGATCGAATTGATTCTTAAATTTTTGACTTTGAGGTAAAAATGGTAATCAAATTGATTGTTATTGATCGATTTATTGAAAATAACATAATCATGATCTATAATATTTCCTTCAATTCCAACAATAAAAAATATATGCAATTGAATTATTGTATTTTTAGTACATGATTTGATTTCGATTGTTAAAAATAATTTTGACATACTAGCATGTATTTTTAATACATGCTTCTTAAATTTTTGACTTTGAGGTAAAAATAGTAATCAAATTGATTGTTATTGACTGATTTATTGAAAACAACATAATCAAGATCTATAATATTTCCTTCAATTTCAACGATAAAGAATATATGCAATTCAATTATTGTATTTTTAATACATGATTTGATTTCGATTGTTGAAAATAATTTTGATATACTAATATTCCTAAACAAATAGCAGATTAGACAGTTGATCATATGAATTTGTATATAGAAAACAACTTTGATGTACTAATATTTCTAAACAAATAGCAGATTAGACTGTTGTTTATAGTAATTTGTATTTAGAAATTCATATTACCAAAAAGCAGCTTGTCAAAGTGATAAAGGTATTGGCCCAACTTAACTATGATTTCGGATTAAATCTGAACATGGGTATGTAGTAGTGATTGTTGATAGAGATTTATTTTTCTAAAAGGACCCACTTGATTTGAATATGGATTAGTTGGAGCAATGATTACGGACACCGGGTACATAGTAGACAAAAAAAACATATGACATTCTTGATTTCGAACACTTGGTGCATAATATACAAAAAAAAACAGCAAAAAATTATATGATACATTTCACAGGAAAATAATAATACTTGAATATTACTCTAAAATATTTTAAATTTCGCAAAACGTGCGAAACATAATACCAGTTTAGCTTATTATGTAGTGCCAGTACTTTTTTGGGCCCAACTCTTATTTTATGTGACCGCTGTCAAAGAGCAAAAAGCCCAGCCCATGGAAGCTTTTCTTGTGCGCCTGAAAAGTGAAAATACTCGACGACAGAAAACCCCCAAAGTACTACTGATACTGACCGAAACTAATCAACCCGACCGTTACCAAATTATACACCTCTTCTTAATTTGCTCTAAATCATCCTAAAACCCTAGTTTTTTTTTTTTTTTTTTTTAACCCTTTTGATTCGACCTCTTTTGATTGATGTTCATATCATTGTTTCGGGCTTACTATTGAAAAATGGGTGCTAGTCGGAAGTTACAGGGCGAAATCGACCGAGTTCTGAAGAAAGTTCAGGAAGGGGTAGACGTGTTCGACAGTATTTGGAACAAGGTATGATTTTGGAGTTGGAATTGTGTGATTGTTAGTCCTTGATGATTCCCGTGTTTCGGAAGAACTGTTGAATTACTCGTGAAAAAGGCGTAACCAAACTTTTAATTGCAGGTGTATGACACGGACAATGCTAATCAGAAGGAGAAATTTGAGGCCGATTTGAAGAAGGAAATTAAGAAGCTTCAGAGATACAGAGACCAAATCAAGACCTGGATTCAGTCCAGTGAAATTAAGGATAAGAAGGTGATCATTCCCTCTCTTTTTGTGTGTGTGTGTGTGTGTGTGTTTTTTTTTTTTTTTTTTTGTGTTTAACGTTGTTTTCTGATACAGAGCCTTTCTTGCTTGCACTGATGACTTTTTGCACTCTATTTGAGATTGCATTTAATAGTAGCTTCGAGTGATTACCTGATTCTGATGTCGGGAGTAACAGAAGTTTAATTACAATCTTTGTACTAAACCTTGACTTTTGAATCTAATTTGCGGAGTGTGATTATGATAGGTTTTTGTGATGAATTAAATCTTTCCTGTAGTCAGAATTACTACATTTTTCATTCTATTTTCTTTTTGGTATGGAAGATATTATACATTAAAAATATCTTCTTTTTTTTTTTTTTAAAAAAAAAAATCTTTTGCATTTTGGATGCCAGAGTTTTCTATACTTATTAGATGTCCAAGTTACCTTCTTTTTCTTAGTATTTTCTAATTCGTGCTTTTCGTTCTCTCTCAAATTATAACTTAACTGTTTCTTGGTGTTCAATCTTGGGGTTTTCAGCTGTTTGCTGCTTAAATCTGGGGTATCTCTTTTTGTTTAGTGGAAACCTTTTGTCTTCGTTTATCAATGTCGACTCTTTCACATATATATATATATTTAATTAATATTGTCAATTTATGGTTGTCCAATTTATCAATGTTATCACGTGTTAGTTTGGTTGGATTTTTGAACTTGTATATCGCACACAGAAGTTAACTATAAATTCTCTTTTGATACGTTTTGACATAGGTTAGTGCCTCTTATGAGCAGGCTCTCATGGACGCTCGTAAGCTTATCGAGAAAGAGATGGAAAGATTTAAAATATGTGAAAAGGAGACCAAGACAAAAGCTTTTTCCAAAGAAGGCCTGGGACAACAGCCTAAAACTGTAAGCATTCCACCACATTTTTCTTTGTTTGATCCTTAGTCTTTGACGCTGTTGATGATATATGTGGTAGTTATAGTTACTATATAATTTTATGAGTTCAGCTTTATATCTTATGGATTGTGTGATGCAATATTGTGTTTTTTACCTTTTGATATAGTTGTGTCTTGGGTGGTTAGTATAAGTTTCTTTCTAGACACCATTTATTGATGTTTTACTAAGTGATATTCTCATGGTCGATATTATCGTTTAGTCAAGGAAGCGATTAAAAAAGAAATTTGCTACAAAACAATGGAAATAATGTGTCTTGGTTTTAGGCATTCTGAACATGATCATTTTAATTTTTATTTTAGGTTCTTTTTGGAATAACAAATCACCAGAAAAAATTTATGTCTGTAATCCTCCATGCTCTTCAATCAATTTGCAGGACCCAAAGGAGAAAGCTAAGTCGGAGACGAGAGATTGGTTAAACAATGTGGTAAGAATCTAGGAATCCCATTTTGTTTCTTATGCTTTAGGTTAATTGGTTACTGTCTACTTGTGGTTAATGATACCTTTTCATTGTCATTTTTGATGTTCTTTTGCATTCAGTAACGAGTGCACAAAATCATGCTACGTCCTTTAAATTAGTCTGACTTGTGCCACCATGAAGTCTTTGTTTAATTGTGACTTTTAGTTTGTGATGATTTCCTTGCCTTCTCTTTTTTTGAGAGACTGCATTTATTTAGTTTTTGATACAAATTGATTTTTCAGTTTTGCATTGCCAGTGCTACTCTAATGGGCATTTCTTAGAAGTGTAAATTTCAGTGCTTCATCACGAGAATTCTTTTCGTAGTTTTTAAGATACGTTGTTTTATTATTATGTAGGTGAGCGAGCTGGAAAATCAAATCGATAGCTTTGAAGCAGAAATGGAGGGCCTCTCTGTAAAGAAAGGAAAGCAAAGACCACCTCGATTGGTGAGGATGCAAATTCCAACTTTATCACATACAGTTATCTCAATTTCCAATTTGATTTGCTGATTGCCCAAAAAAAATGTATTCCTCTTGCAGACACATTTGGAGGCGTCTATCACGCGACACAAGGCACATATAATGAAATTAGAATTGATTTTGAGACTGTTGGACAATGACGAATTAAGTCCTGAACAGGTCAATGACGTGAAAGATTTCCTGGATGATTATGTAGAACGTAATCAGGTGAAATATTGTTGTTTATTAGTATTTAGTTTATGTGATTCTCTTTAGCTCATAGAATTATGAGATGATAACAGAAATCTTTGTTGGTAGTCTAGTTTAACAAGGATTCTTTTAGTGATGGAGAATTGGGTTCTTCCTTTGACTGTGCAGGAGGATTTTGATGAATTCAGTGATGTGGATGAGCTTTACAGCTCTCTTCCTTTAGAAAAGGTAGAGTCTCTTGAAGATCTTGTGACCATGGGACCTCCTGCTCTTGTCAAGGTGAGATATTTCTGTTGCGACTGGCTTTCTCTTCTTATCAGCCCAGCTTCTTTGAGGGCTTTTGTTGTTCTTTCATTGAATTAGTTTAAGTGGAAAAGTATTCTTTTACCGGTCAAGATGAAATAGATTTGTGTGGCTCGTCTTGTTTGTTTACATCTTTTGCATTTTCTCATTATACCGAATGAGATTTTGTTATCCTATCCACCCCTTAGAGAAATAGTGTAAATTGTATCGCGTTGTTTGTATTTGACAGGGTGGTAATACGTCCAATGCAGCTTTAAGCATGAAAAATCATTTGGCCACGCCCTCTGCCCAAGCACCTGTATGATTTTTTCCAAAAAAAAAAATGAGATCTCGTTTGAATATTTTCCATCTTGTCCCTCATTGCCATTCTTTTTATTTCCCATACATATCTTTATTTTTGTTTATCATTATTTTTAAACAGATGAGATCCTCTTTGCTCTATTCCTTTTTTGCATTAGCTACTTGGTATTTGACAGAAATAAATGTTGAAAGTATATCTTTGTAATGGTATAGTTTTGATCAATCGGAAAATCCTAGTGCCGACAAAGTTTGAAATGGAAAGCTTTTATGATAAGTTGAGTAAAAAATGGTTTCACTTTGATAGATGCGTGGAATGTATTCAAAAGTTTTGAATAGTTCGAATTTATTCGTTTAGGAAATGAAGAAATTGATAAAGATGCTAATGCAAAATTGCAGAAGTGCATGCTCTATACTTTATGATCATAATAAGTACCAGCAAAGTTCAGAGGAATATTTACTGAATAGCTGTAAGAATAGCTGTTAACCTAGTGATTATCATTCTTCCTGAATTGTTATTTCTTGGTGTCACTTATGTCGTTTCGGCCAGCTTCTTATGAAAACTTGAGGTTCTCCTCCTTTAGATCGTGTATTGAAATGTTACATCTGCTTTATTTGGTTGCCTGATTTCCTCTTTTATAGATTCCTCACTATTAATGATGTTGGTTGGCAATGGAAAGCATTTTCACGTTTACAATTGAAAAAGCACTAACAAGGAATTGAGAGTGTATATTTTTCCTGGGCACACTTGCAACCGTGGCAGGCCTTTTTATTTCATATTATTTGGTCATTTTAGACTCTTTATAGTCTTCCTCATATACTCTGTTGCTTCTCGATGCATGCTAGTTTAAGAGAACTATCCGCTATACTTAAGACTTCTTTGAGTTTCGAAGTATGTGAATTCCTAATTGAAATATGCATCTGTTTATTTAATATTTTGGGTATAACTGTTCTATCCATAAAACAAATAAACACATGTGGTTATTTGTCATTGTTAATGAACATGATTATCACAAGATGAGATGATCAATTTTGATTTTGTTTTCCTATATGGAACCTGTCTGGAAAATTAATGATAAACATAATAACTGAGTTGAATGATATGACAGACGATTTGTGATTAAAAAGTCACATGTTTTGTAGTGAACATATGAATTCTAGTGTATATGTGTGTAATCCCTAGGTGAGTAATCCTAGTGCGTAGTTAAGTGAACTTAAAAATTAGTGCTGCTTGTGTAATATTCTGGACATATCTCTTGGTCTTTGTCTCCTTTCATCACTTTCCCTCGGCATCTTATCATGCTATGTATTAATAGCTACAGATGTGCTTCTTTTTGTGTTGAGTTCAACAGATGATCCGTTCAAAATGATTAAAATGAAAGCTTACGCACCCTTGAGGTTTTTGTTGGAATTAGTACTAGAATCTCTTGTTTATTTGGCATTTTTGCTGCTCGTGCCCAAAAAATGCCATTTTTTCTTACACGCGTACCTTTCTAAATCCGCCTTTAAATTATTTCTTATGTGCAAATTTAGGCTTCGGTTACAACTTCCAGTCATCAAGGTGTTTCAGCCCAAGAGCTAGCTGATGAAACTGCTTCGCATGACAGTAACCCAGATGTTATAGCTAGAACTCCTCCTCCTAAGACCAGCCCAGTTGGTTCAGCTCCAGCGACACCAGTAGGAAGCCATGCCACTCCTGGCATTGTGAAATCTTCAAATGACTTCCTTGGTGCGTCAACTGCTTCCTCTGGTCATTTTGGTACGAGCTCATCTGGTGTTCTATTAGATAGTGCAAGTGTTACAGTTCCTTCATCTCCAGTAAGTATTCCTAATTCGGTAAAGGAGGAAGACATCACGTGTTTACCTGGTCGTAAAGCTTCTCCTGCAATTGCCGAAGCTGCATTACGAGGGGTTAGCAGAGGTGGATTTTCCAATTCATCCTCGAGTACTGTTCCACTTACTTCTGGAAGTGCTGCCTCAAGCAATAGTGGTGCTGGTGCTGTTACATCGGGCAGTGAAATAGGAAAAAAGATTATGCTCGGAGGTGAGGAAAGACTGGGAAGTAGTGGCATGGTGCAGCCTTTGATTTCTCCAATGGGCAATAGGATGATGATGTCACAAGGGCCCAAGACTGGTGATGCCATTAGCTCTGCTGATGTTGGGAATGCTGAGGCTGCGTCTATGGGTGCACGAATGTTTTCTTCGTCTGTAGTTCCTGGCATGCAATGGAGGCCTGGGAGCTCCTTCCAGAACCAGAATGAATTGGTCTGTGGTTATTAATTATTTTTTGTTCTCATCTCATTATTTTACTAATTATCGCAATTGTCATGAATACTTGCTTCAATAAATGAAAGTAGAACTCTGGAAATTGTTTGCTAATAGTAATTAACTAGATACTTTTGATTAAATATCTGATCTTGGGAGAAGGGTTCTCAGGAAATTGTATGCTTTTTAATAGTAATTTAACTATTCTTAAAGTGCTCGCAAAATGAAAATCATTTGGATCTTTTTATTTTTTATTCCATGCCATATGTATTAGTCTAAAGACTGAAACTGATCTTGTTTTTTCTAGGGGCAGTTTCGTGGAAGAACAGAAATTGCTCCTGACCAAAGGGAGAAGTTTCTCCAGCGATTTCAGCAGGTCCAACAGGGTCAAAATAATCTTCTTGGTTTGTCACTTGCTGGAGGGAGTCATAAACCCTTTTCCGTTCAGCAACAAAATCCCCTTTCGCAGCAGGTACTTTTTGGTATTCTTCTTGTTTTTGTAACATGGCTAGGTAGTTTATATACTTGGAGGCATTTGACCTGAAATTTTATCATGTAACGTTTGAAAATTAGCATTAGTTCTGTTCGAATAGTACGATGAGATAAGACCATGAAACCATTCTGATTTGAACATGAGGCTGGGGAGAATATATTATGAGTTGAAGGGTAAATATCGACAGGGACTAAGTTTGGATTTGTTGTGACATAGATGTATGTGTTAAACTCTTGCGGAAGCTTTTATTGCAGGAGAAAAGGAACAATCCTACAAACTTATGCATTATTCATGCTCTAAGCATGTATGCAAATTGACAAGGATTCTCTAACTAAGAGTAGAAGTTCTGAAGACTTTTCAGGCAGTCAGCCTGTTTGATGGGTGATTGAACTCTCTGGTGTCTTGTGGGAAAGTGGATTTTATTGACTAGTACACGGGAAATGGTGGTTCTTGTTACGTATCTGAAGAAGGATTGGCAATCCGGCTAAATTTAGGATATTGAAAGCTGTCAATGTGTACCTTGTAGGATGCTAGAAACTGCTGTAACCTTACCTTTTCTTATAATTGGAAACAGCAAAACAGAATGAAGTACGTGAAAAGTGCATAACTCAGGTTTTCTTTAATCTGGTAGTTTTTGAGTTACTTCAAGTCTTTGATGCAAATTTAGCTGCGGATATATCTAGTAGGTTTATCATTTGCATATTGGTGAACAAAATTTCTCAGTGATCTAATTTGCAGGTTTGAATTAGGTTTAAGCCCAATTAACAATTATTTTTCTCATTGCAGCAGCAGCCGAGTGCTGTACACCTGTCATCAAATCAGGCAACTCAGATGTTGGGGGCATCTAGGGATGCGGGTAATGATCAATTCTGCTTGAATATCTAATCTTTCTCTGTTGATGGTTTATTAACCATAGTCAGCTTAATAGGTTATTGGGATGCACAATATTGCTATTTATCTTGAGAAGGCAAAATGGTTTCTTTGACCTTGCAAGTGAAGCATTTATTTATTTATTTTTTAAAAAAAGGCATTTAGAGCAAGATGTCGATTACACAAAGGTTGTCCAATGCAAGCCATCGAAAACTTGCATTGCTCTTTTCTCCTCTTATTACTATACACTATCAATCAGGCCTATGAAAAGTCTTAAGTGTATGTGTAATGATTGAGCAGGTAGTTAAATGCCTCGTTATGAGATTGAATTACTCAAATTTATCAGAAAAATTGAGTACATTGAAAGAGTCTGTTGGATAACTTCATTGTGCAAATGTTTTGTGTCAGTACTTATTAGTTGTGCTTGGAGAATGCAGATGCTGGTCATGCAAAGGTGGAGGAGTTGCATCAACAAACTGCAACTCCTGAGGATTCTTCTGAGTTTATTCCTAGTTCTGGGCATGTTAGGAATCTTGTAGCAGAAGACAATATGAAGGCTTCATATGGAATGGATTCTCCTGTATGTGTTATTCATCTTGGTTCTTACGTTTGTTATAAGTCTGAACGGTTTTTTCCCCCTTATAATGTAGTTGACAATACCTTCATCTTCTTCTATCACTGTTGTCTGTGGGTGATTACTTGATCAAGTGCTGATGTTTCTCGCATTTTCTAGTAATAGAATTTTATGCGAAGTTGTGAATTTAATGAACTAAGTTCCATTCACAACAGTCCTGAAGTGCCACATGGTGAGGGCAAAGTAGGTGCTTCTCTTTGTGCATTCTATGTGCTCTATGTTTTCTTAGAGGACACTTTGGGAGTTGGTTAACTGTGAATTCATGTTCTTACGGTTAATAGAGACAAAGAATGCTGTAGGTTCCGAGCCATTCATTTTTGCTTAAAGTGGAACTTAAGTAGGTCAAGTATTGATACATGCTCGTTGAGGCAATTCTCTTTTTAAGCTCATTTGTTGTAGTAGTTCTTCTATTGGCTTCTGCAATTGAGTTTTGGACATGGTACCTAGAAAGAGATGAAAATGATAAGTAAGGTATGCGAAAAGCTTTTGAGATGAAAAATGAGTAAATATGTTACCCGTACTCTTCTATTTGGGGAGAATACCCGTGTCGTGTCGTGTCGACACTGGTGTGGGTATGAGTGTCGGGTGTGGCATTTTAGCCTAAAATGTCCAAGATTTCTCAAATATTGACGAGTCGGACACTCAGATCCCCGCACCCGATACGACATTTATCCGAGTCCAGATAACATAGATAAAAATATCAGAATTTGCAGGAATTGAACGTGTAAAACATCGATGAGTTGTTTCTATAACACATCTTCAAATGAAGTACATTTGGTGAATTAGACTGAGCCAAGTTTGGCACAAGACTGAAAACATGGCGGTAGGAGAAAATACCATATAAAGATGAAAGAAATTGTGGATCCTTATGATATTTCCATTCCAGGGATGAGATTAGAAAAAGTATAATTGCATGGCTGAGCAGTTTCTGTAATATAATAAGAAAGGCTAAGAATTTGCATCAATATTTGCGAAACAGCATACTGATAACTTTGCAATGAGGGGGGATTTATAGAAGGCAGTGATGTCAAAGTATGACAATGAGTTATAGAAACCAGGGTAAGATAAGAAGCTAATATACAGCAGAAGTATACATATAATGAGAAGATTATGTCAGCATGATATATAGGATTAAAAAAATGGGTACATATGGTATTTATTTATTGTTCAATTTGTGCTGCTGTTAATTGGGATGGAAATTAAAGTTTGGAGGGGTAGAATTAGCTTGCGAATGTGTGATGCAAAATTTTATTAAATCAAAAGATGCTAGTACTGTGGAGAGATGAAATCCAAAATTATTGTGGGGATTAACATTTTGACCTTTCTGCCTCCCGAGGCTACTAAGCATTTGCGGAAGTACATCAATGGATATGTTCTTGAGTAAATGTTATGATAATGCCACTTGAATTGTTTAGTTAAGAAGAACGTATGTCGGAAGATTGGAGGGGGCATTAGAATGTATTCCATGAGTTGTTCATGAGTGCATATTATTTCCTAATATTGGAAAGTTTGAAGGCGGCGTCGAAATTGAAATGTTTTGCCACGAATAAAGTGAAAATCAAAGTATGAAGCACCATTTTAGGAATGATAAATGAAGTTCAGTGATATTAAGCCTCAACATTTTTAGTTGCAAATGAATGATTTGCAGGGAGAATCCGGCATTTCCACATGGTTTTGTTCAAATAACAGTTAAAAGATCTTCAAGTGTCAAGATAAGAATAGAACTAGGGAGACAGAATGGAAGAAAGACACCCCTTGAGCTCACTTAAAGTTTCTTAAATATTCTTTTTGTTGTGTCTTGCATTTAACCTTTTTCCTATTGTTTTTAATTTTCAAATATGGAAGTTTTTTTTTTCTTAGTCTTTCGTTCTCTTTTAATCTCCTGGATTTTTTTTCCTTTCCATACCTCTCCCTTTAATGGCCTGTTTTGAAACCCTAATAGTTTTATAGATTCGTGGAGTGGTAAGGGTCGGGGATTGTATACACGAGGTCTTGCTTTCAAACCTAGCTGGCGGCAGTCAGCTAGGTTCGAACACAAGATATGACTGCCGCCAGCTCTGTTTGAATGCAAGGCCTCGTGTATATATTTTTGTTTAGTTTCCTTTCTCATTTATTCTTCATTCGATAAATTTTAGTGGGTCTATTTTTACTTGATTCCTTTCTTTTTCATTTGCAATTTATTTCTTTTCCATTTTTTTAATTCTCGCCCATTTATTATTTGTTCTTCATTGGTGTGGTGGTGTCCTCCTCCAACTGTCACCGTGATTGTGTCCACCACCGCGGCCTTCAAAACTTGTCTCCACCACCACCACATATTATCTGAGAATAGCTGATAGGCCAGGGCAATTGTCCTTCACGTTGCTATAACAAGTTCAGACAAGGCAGGCTGGGAATATTAATGTAAAATATGAATAGACTTGGTCTCTCTTCAATTTTCTCTATATTCTTCTTTCATCTCCTTGCCTAGAACCTCAGATCTGTGCTAGTTGGATTTGGGTACGGGTGTCAGGTTCAGATGTGAATCTAAGCACTTGACTCATCAACAGTGTAGGCATTTCCCACCAAATGCCTATGACACCCACACCCAAGTGTCGACACGGGCACTCTCCTTTAAAGTGGAGAGTCCAGACTAACGATCTGAAGAAGATCCCGGTGTTTAGGAGCCTTTCAGAAGTAAGAGGAATGTGTCCAAGAATATTTACTAGATTGGTCAATGTGTGTTCAATGAATCTAATTATGGATGGGTAAAATATTTAGTTAGTCTTAGGGATTAGGGCAGAACTAGTGTGCTTTTGAGCCTAGAACTAGTGTTTTTTTTGAGTTACGTTTGACATCATTAGATCTCACATTCTTCCTTCTTTTTCCTTGGAGTGGCTGGTTTGGAAACATGAGTTATTACTGTCCTTGTTTTCTTTCCTGCTTAGATAGGAATTTATACTGTAGCCTTGACCTAGTTTTCATCGTATGTGTAATGCTATGCTTTTTATAGAAGAAACTGGCAGTTTGACAACAATTTCATATTGACATGGATCTCTGAAATGGACAACCTAATAAGTTGTGAGAAAGGATACAGCAGAGTCGTACAAAATGGCAGCTTCCATATTCTCTCTGAATTTATCTGCAGAGTCAGACAGAACGTATTCTTGTGAATAATTTATGCGGGAAATGAAGGGAGAAATAAGATTTCCTTTTTTCACTTTGTGATTATGGAACCAACATCCTATTTTGAAAATCACAGACGTGAAAAAGTTACTTTGTAGTTATGGAACCAGCATCCCCCTACTCTGAAGGTCACAGATGTGAAAGAGGACAGATTGCCTGAGTGGACTGTTTTGGTAGTTGGCCCTATTGTTGATACTCTTATAGGCTTTAGTTACTTAAAAATACTGAAACAGAGTTCGTTTATTTAGGTTTTGCTGTGCAGGACATTTTTATTGAATTATCACGTATATTAGTTATTTAATGTCATTAGATAAGATAAAGTGCTGTGTGGCCTTCAGATTTAGAGTCTTGCAATTGCAAGTACAGGTTATTGGACAGAGTAGCCTTTGTTGTTAGAATACATGGAATAGACTAATTGAAGCTTGGCTGTCTGACCCATCCCCATGCCTCACGAGTTTTTGCATTGGGTTGGCCTTTTATAACGTTTTGTGCTCTTCCGGTAATATAAATACATTGGAAATTGGAATCAGAATAGCCTTCCAAGTCGATCATTCTACTTACTCGGTCTTTATTTAAGAGTTAATCTACCCTTTTTTGTCTTCAACTTCTGATGTGTTGTTATAATTCTTCTTTGGCTGTAAGTGAAATGCTAATGTGGAATTTTGTGTTGATCATCATTGATTAGAGATGTTTTCTTTAAGTTGAATTTTCATATTGAAGTTCATTTGTGCCCTTATGTTTGTTTTGAAAGTTGAACAAGCTTATTCAAGTTACCCCGTTTTAGCGGATATCTAAAAACACTTGAAATGCACCTAACAACTATCAAGTTTTACCTTTGTCATACTAAACTTTCTTCTTGATGGTATTTAAAGTTCAGCATCATTAGCTTCGGCAACTGTCCTTACTCTACTTGCTGACTTATTGTTGGAAGATATATTTTATATTTAAAAATGTTGCTTGCTACAGGCTGCAATGGCTGGCAACCTTACTGAATCATCCCCTCAGATGTCAAGGGATGTTGATTTATCTCCTGGTCAACCATTACAACCTAGTCAACCATCTGGAAGTCTTGGTGTCATTGGTCGAAGAAGTGTGGCAGACCTGGGTGCAATTGGTGATAATCTTGGTGCTGCCCCTGCAACTTTTGGAGGAACTCATGACCAGAACTACAATTATCAAATGCTTGAAGCAGCATACTATAAACTTCCGCAGCCCAAAGATTCTGAACGTGCAAAGAATTATACTCCAGTAGGAAATGATTTTCTTAACACCTAGTTTGTAGCCATATATTGTCAAGTCTTTTCTAATGTATTTGGCTTGCCTTTGACAGAGACATCCTGTGTCAACTCCTTTGAGCTACCCACAGGTACAGGCACCAATTGTCAACAATCCTGCCTTTTGGGAACGCCTTGGCGCTGATAATTATGGCACAGATACGCTCTTCTTTGCATTTTACTACCAGCAGGTACTTGTCATTCTGGTCCTTTGGCTATCATGTGGTTAGTTCAGCACTACTTTTGCTTCAAATTGATCAGTAATACTCTTTCATATGCAGAACACTTATCAGCAGTATCTTGCTGCTAAGGAATTGAAGAAGCAATCGTGGAGATACCACAGGAAGTATAATACTTGGTTTCAGAGACACAAGGAACCAGAGGTTGCCACAGATGACTTCGAACAGGGGACATATGTTTACTTTGATTTTCATATTGCTAATGATGAGCAGCATGGATGGTATGTTGTACCAACTCTTTCATTGCCCTTGGACAAATTTGTATTAGTATTGAGTTCAAGTTTTGTTATTTTCACTGCCTCTTAATCCTACCGGAGTCTCTTTCATTGCCCTTGGACCAATTTGTATTAGTATTGAGTTCAAATTTGTTATTTTTGCTTATCCAAGCACTGCCTCTTAATCCGACCCGAGTCTCTCTTTGGGCTTTGTCAATGCTTGCCGTTGGATAAATTTCTTGGAACAAACAACTTGGCACTTTATTTTTTTAAGAAAGATGTAACTTAGCACTCTGTTTTACTGGTGTTGATCTATCTTCATTGTAACTTGGCATCATATGCATGCATTGTGGTACAAAATTTGAATTTGAGAAACTAATTAATGAGTTTATTGACTTCACTCTCCTGATTTATACCATTCTTTGTCATTTTCTTTTTCAGCCTGCTTCAGTTCACATGAAGTAAATGGAATATGAACATACTGTTAAAAATTCTTCAGAACTGATTGTTTTAGTGCTTTGCTTCTTGTGTTCGTAGGTGCCAGAGAATCAAGACGGAGTTCACATTTGAGTACAATTATCTAGAGGACGAGCTTATAGTATAGATTGATTCTTTTATATCTCAAGATTATCCTCTTAGTGTAAGAGATGATTTTTCTGTTGTTTCTTTGTCAAAAAAATCTTTTACCTGATGAAATTCTACTTCTTAAACACTATGAGGATGTGCTACTACATCTGTCATATGGCATTATTGAGCTACCTGCTTATGAATTTAAAGACGTATTCTGGTTGATGCTGAACTGCTGTTCACCCACAGTTCGGAGTCACTATTCTTTGATTTTTTCATTTAATAAGTTTAGTCCACATCTGGGTACTGGAAACTTACAGAAATAGATGGAGCTTTATCTTGTCAGATCTATATATGTAGACATTGGTCCAAGAATCTTAATTATTTTCTTGTATCTCTTGTGGCTGAAGTGTGGTTTGAGTTCCTCCTATCTACATCTATTTATTGCTGTTTTGACAAATGGATTAGTGCTCTCTGCAAAGTAATAGCATAAACTTTCTGTTTGCATCATTGTACCCTAGGGCGGAAATACTTCATCTTAGCACCTGTAGGCTATAGCAGTTCTTAGATGCATTGGCTATTCCAAGATCTGTTTGTGATTTTGTCTTTGAGAGGATCAGTCAGGGCAGTTTTGTTGGCCAGTCGGACATGGTGATGATGACATAACCGTCAATTTCACAAAACTTGTAATGAAATTGTTCAGAAGTCTCAGTATGCCTCTCTCGAGAAGGTAAAAGTGCCCTTGGCTCAGCATTGTAACAACATATTTCTGGGCAAAGTTCTCAAAGTTAAGCTCAGTTGAGTATGAGATTTATAACTGGGTCGTTGTTCCATTAAAATTACTATGATCTTTCGGATAAAACTCCATCCAAGCTTTGAATTAAAACAGTTAAACTCCAAAATAAGTCCACTAATTCATCAGATTTATATATCATCTATGAATTGTAACTGTGGGTCATGGGGAATTGGGGATTGTATTCACGAATTCGGCCATTACTCTTTTTTTTTTTTCCTGATTAATAATAACCATTATTTAGTTTAAGGACCTTCAGATAGTTTAGGGATGGATAGCTTGCTAAAGTATTAAACCACTGAAAATAACTTCGGGGAAAAAGCTACATCCTCTAATTTGGAGGCCAACCGGAAAACTCTCTTAATAGTTCCACAAAAGTCAAATTTCCAACATCCATCAGCCCTTATAAATTGGTGCATGAAGCCATGCAGAAAATCTTGACCCTGAAACTGCAAATTTACCCCATCTTTTAAAAACTTTTTTAGACTTGAAAACAAATTAAAAAATAATGGCCAGATTTGCAATTTCTTTACTTGCTCTCCTTGTGTTGGCATCATATGCCTCAGCCACAACCCTAGAAGAAGTGTGCAAAGGCACCACCAATGCTACATATTGCGTAAAACTACTCCAACCAACCGTCATGCCAGACACCGATTTCAACAGCACCTTATGGCACAAGATGGTCATCTCCCGGGCCGTGACCCGGGCAATGATGGCCAAGGATTTCATGGCTAGGTTGCCTAATGTGCCCAAGGAAAACACGGCCGCCTTGAGCGCGTGCGCACACAAGCTTCGCCAGAGCATCAAGTTGCTCAGGGAAGCAGCCGCGGAGTATGGCGTTGGCCCCGCCAATGTGACCGGGACATTGGACCGGGTCTCGGCTTTCCAAAATGCTTGCTCCGGCTTGTTGAAGGATGTCGGCGCGGCCATGGAGCAAGTCAGAGTGCACGCCAACGAAGCCGCTGCCGCTACTTACATTGCCAAAGATTTGATTTAAAAATACTATACTAAATTTTTACGCTGGGTAAGAAAAAAAGGAGTAGCAAAATATTCATATGATGGATATGAAGCTTAGTAAGTATTAAACGGACTGATTGTCTGGTTTGGATTTTGTTTCTTTGCCATAATTTTTACTAAAAATAAAAATCTAAACCAGACTAATCATATTATGGTATATGAAGCTTACTAGGCTCTTGACTAGGGCTCAAAGATGAACATAATTCTTCTTTTTCTATTTTGTGAATTGGGAATTTTGAGAGATTGTTGAATCTTGACTTGTTGAAGTTTTTAAATAAAAGAGATTATTTATTTATTTATTTATTTCATTTAAGTAGCATCGAATTGAAGATTTCCATGTGTGTTTTGCTTGAAATCCCTGAATTTGTTTTAAAGGAAAAAAAAGTGTTGTAATTATATATGATTTCTTACAGCCACGCTTCATGATTTCTTGTCACGTTTGAGTGATTCCATGGCCATTCCAAGTAGGTTTCTTAGGAAGTAGCGGTGAACTTCTTAAACTGTATTGGAGTTTCTTCTTCTATTTTCTTTGTTTTTTTTTCCCCAAAAAGATTAATTGTCAATTTTCTTTAATCCTCGATGTGTCTCGAACCGTAACCTATACATACGCCGTCGTCCATACAAAAATTGGTTCCCTCTGTTCTCAACCCAAACATATCTAAGCCTCATAATGCTTCGTTGAGTTCGTTAGATAATTAAGTTGAGAGAAAAAAAAAAAATGAAGTCTTTGATATATATTAATTATGTCGATCGTATGAATAGCGTCTAGTTGATGAAGATTATGTAAAGATAAGCGTGTAATTTATTCTTGTCCACTCTTTCCATTAATAATAGCATACATCTGCATAGCAATTTTCTCTTTTCTTTCAATCCTTTGTTTCAACCCGATGAGCATAAAATATGATCAATCAAAAATACTTGTCAAACTTAAATTATATGTAAAATAGTCCAAACTCCAGACCACAATCCCTTGGCTTCCGATGAAGTGAACTGGTGAGATGGTAATAAAGTTCTAACATTTTTTTTTTTTGCATAAAATAAATGACGAATTTCTTTTCACTCTCTTACAAAAATCAAGCATAAGACCTTCATATCTCTTAAACCGAACTTTACAAGAAACATATATGTGTTATTACAACTAAAATTTTGAGGCCAAAATGATTGCATTGTGATTTGTGAGTATTAAAATGATTTTCTAATATGTTAGAGAAGTGTTCAAATCGTTTTTTTTTTCTCCTCCACCAAAAAGAAAAAAACAATATTTGATGTTTTCTAAAGCCGTAGATTTTGAAAAGTTTCAAGAGATGATAATAAAAGTATAAAATTTGTAGAGGTAATGAGGAGAAGAGTGATATAAATAGTTCTACAGAAATAATTTTGTTGCATTTTAGTCGGACGGTCACTTATGGTTGCCGCATTTTTATCAAGCTCACCCTTTTTCTTTTTCCGTATTCATCTATTTTTAATGTTATTTTTTTTCCTTTTCTAGAAGCTAAATACATTAGATAATGACAACTTTTTTTTTTTCTTTTCCTTGTTTAGTTTCCCTTCAAAATTGATTTGTAACATAAAAATTGTGGGTTACTAGGAAATTTTAATTTCTCGCAATTTAATTGGCGAGTCCAATCGAAATCGCTATATTATATAGTGTAAAGGTATTGTTTTTGTCCGTTTCACATGTAATCTATTGTATATGTGACTCAATTTGACTGATTGAACTAGCTAAAGTAAAAACTCCTGAAATTAATACTCGATTAGATAATAAATTTTTCTGATTCCAACTCGGGATAATATAATTCAAACAAAATCGATAAATTAATAAGATAATAATTTTTTTTTAAAAAAAATTCTTATACAAATATGCCTCAGCCACAACCCTAGAAGAAGTGTGCAAAGGCACCACCAATGCTACATATTGCGTAAAACTACTCCATCCAACCGTCATGCCAGACACCGATTTCAACAGCACCTTATGGCACAAGATGGTCATCTCCCGGGCCGTGACCCGGACAATGATGGCCAAGGATTTCATGGCTAGGTTGCCTAATGTGCCCAAGGAAAACACGGCCGACTTGAGCGCGTGCGCACACAAGCTTCGCCAGAGCATCAAGTTGCTCAGGGAAGCAGCCGCGGAGCATCAAATATAGGTCCCTAAAAATCATAAATTAATAACGAGAAAAAATTAAGAAGGTTTGAGGAGATATGAGATTATATTGAATTTCGCTTTTTCTTGAAATTTACATTTGAGAAAATTTTTATATATGAGTTTCTCTCCTAATCGTAAATAGAAATAAATGGATCATAATCACATATGCGAAGTAGAGTTAAAATTGAGTATTTTGTTTCTTAATAGAAAAAGAGACAGCACACCCAAATTTTATTTTAGCTATACTATAAGGGACCATTTATTTAGCTCCCAAACAGGTCATTTTACATATACATATATCTCCATACAGGCATACAAATAGCTTCCAGTTCATTCTAACCAATTCCTTCACCTCGCATGATAACAATGAGTAGATGAAATTGAAGTAGTTTCAACGTAAAATTGCAAATCTAGTTTCACAAGTTTTGCAATGTATGTGAAGAAGTGAAGTGATATTTAAATAATAAATTAATTAAAAGGTGTCTCCTTGTTAGTTACGTTACATGTATACTTTTCAACCAGTTTCAAAAGAATAACATTCACAACAGGAATATATAATACTTGGGTCAAAAGATATGTGATTTCAACCAGTTTTTAGTTTGCACAATAATTACATCTTAAGTGGTTCACTGCCGTCCCTGTGAATCCACCTTACTTACCACTTGCTTATAATTTTAAGTAGGAATTTATTTCTTTTAGAAGGTGTCAACAATCGCCCCACCATTGCCATAACAAGTGACTATAGACACAAAATCCACTTTTTATGCAATAAAAATGATGTAGCGGCTGTTAATAACCTGTGAATATGTATATTGTTTTATGAATAGTTTAGGTGTAGAAACAACAATTAATTATAGATAAAGTACTAAAAAGTTGTTCGTCATCTTCGTTTGGTACCGTAAAAGTTTTTTGTTACCATTTACCACCAGAAATTTGAAGATTGTTCCTAATCAATTTCATGTTAGGTTTCCATCCAAAAAGTAACGGTCAACCCATTTTTCAAGTGAGAGGCACGTGTGTTGATTAAAGGGTATTTTTGTCTTACTTTTAGAATTAAAATTCAATTAAATTTTGAAAATAAAATAAAATATTATTGTTGGAACATTAAATTTAATCCATCACTTCTAATTCAAGACATTAGATTTTTGTTAAAAACAAAGACAAAAGGACTTTAATGCACCAAATTCATCTTTTTTTTTTTTTTACTTACTCAAAAACCCCTTCTTCTTCTCTCTATGGTGTTCTTCATCACCACCATAAATCCCGTCTGTAACCTTCATCATCATCATCTCAACTACTTCTACAGAATTGAAAAAAAGAAAACAAAAAAACATTACAGCTTGGAAACCGAAAGAACATAACCTCAATTCATCCCAACTCAAAATGAGCTCCCCCATTATTATTCGGTTGGAAACTGAATCAGCGAGGGGTTTGGTGTCGCCGATTTGTCCTTTATAGATGCATTCATTATCATCATCAATTCATCGTCCCTTTCCCATTCTAAGAAAAAATAGTAATCATGGTTTTTTTACATTGTCATATAAAGCACATCAAATCTCAAAAATTACAATTTCAAATTTCAGACAAAAAGAACATCCAAATTAAAGTAAACTCGAAAAAGGTCAATTTCACAAAAATTTGGCCTCTACTACTGAAATTTTATCAACAACTAAACCCTTTCATCACTACCAGAGTTTGAATTAAAAAAAAAGCTTTAGCCAGAGCTTAATTTTTTCCAAAAAAATTGGCCAGATTTGGATCAAGTTGCCGGGGAAAGGGTCAATCAGTCACCATCGCGGGTGATGAAATTTCTCAAGCTGCCGGCTTGCTGATCCAAAATTCTCTTCCCGATTTCAAAATCCCAGATGTTAAAACTTGCAGAATTGAGCTCCAATACTCCGAGTCTATGCCGTTAATTCCGTCCACCACAAATCAGGCGGCAGCGGCGGCGCAACCCATTTTCAACATGGGCAGCCCGTTTTCAGAAGAAAATCATTAACTTAAGAAAATTACGGCTGCCGAATCTGATGTTAAACTCAAATCACCATCTCAAAAACCCTAATAAAAAATCCAAAAGTTTTTCTAGAATCAGACCGAATGAAAAAATTGTCCATATACGTGGTAGCCGATGGAGATGGGTGGTAACAAAAAAAATGATGATGATGGGCTTTGGATATTTTCCAATGGCAGCGGGTGGGCGTCCAAACTGCGTGGTGCAATGACGCGGTCAAATCTGTCCATGGTTGGTGGCGGCAGGGTGGCTTTTCCAGGTGAGTGAAGAGACGGAGAGGGAGATGTGAACAATAATCGGTAACGCCGTTGAATCGACTACTTATTAGGGAAAAGAATTTCAAAACCAAGCAATGAGGCAAACCAACTACCTCTTGAGAATGAGATTCTGGTCCTTTGGGATCCTTAGTACTTTTGGATCTTTTTTTTTCTTTTTAATTTTGTTTCCATTTAAATTCCCATGGGTGAGGTATGTAACATCTCCCTTTTATGACCGGCATTGCTTGAGAGAATGAGAGCTTAGTATAGATGCGAAGGACATGGGAATACAGGGACTTGGGTTGGGAACGGGGTTTATGAATGTTTCAAAAGAATGAAACATTAATAGTTGACGGGATGTTTGCGCGCTAGCAGGTAGGAAGCAAAGTAAATATATAAACTATGTTATCAATGAATAAACGAAGTGGTTATGAGGCGTGGTGGAGGCACTCAATTATGTTGATATGGAGGTTCCGTGTTCGACTCCAAGTTCTTATATTTGTTGGGATATATTACTATGATGTATCTTATAAATTTTCGAATACAGTAAGGTTCTCCGCTTCCCATATACATTACTACGGTGTGTTGAGTTCTCTGCTTACCCATAGTTTCTTGAGGCTCTCCTTAGTGATGAGATTAATAAGCTTGGTGGTTGGGATAAGATGATGTTATTACAATGATTAAGTTATGGTCCTGATGAAGGAAGGATAGTTAACTAGTTATGCACGATCTTGCCATGGGTAAGCGTGATTCTGTCTGGTCATGATTTTTATTAGTAGGGTTAGCCTTGGGATCAACGCCCTTAACACGCCTTTCACACGGTTTATTAGCTTATCATCCTTGTAATAACATCATCTTATCCCAACCACCAGGCTTATTAGCTTATCATTATGAATATAAGCAAGTAAGAAAAGAAGCAAGTAAGAAAAGAAGAAATACTTACAGGAATCAGGGGAACTGAGCTCTTTTTATTCCAAACTTCTTAAAACTTTGAAAATGTTTTACACTGAGAAGAGAAAGGAAGAGATTTCTGAAATCGGTGCCCCTACAATTAAACTACCAATCTCTATTTAAAGGCCTCGGATTTCAAAAACTATAAATTCTATTTTACAAATGGATTTGAAATTCGTTCACTTATTGTGAATGTCTTTCTCAGATATGACTCAAGTTGGGTCCATATGCCTTAATTTTCAAAAAGAGATTCCTGCTTTTGTCTTTTCACAGCTTTTCTTTTCCTTTT